TTTTTTTTTTTTTTTTTTCTAATTGAAACTTGTTGTACTAGTCCTAAATTCTGTAATGCAGATTGTTTCCCACAATATAGCAAACCTATCTTTGGTAATAAAGCTGCTGCTCTTAAAAGACAATGAAGTTGCTCATGCAATAGAAAGATTTCCATAGGCACAATTCCCCCCCCACCCCTCCTTTTTTTCCTTGGCCTAATCTTTCACTACAGATCTAGGTTTTAGAAGGATCTGACTGTTAGCTTTTATTTTTTTTCTTCTTCCTTTAGTTTAAATGTACACTTTCTTGCTTTATAAGTTTTGCATGTGCTGATTACAGATTCCTTATCCAAAGCTCTTTCAAATGCCTGTTTTTGGACCCCATGAGACAAAACTTAATGAATTTACTGTCCTAAAACTTTTCTCATGCACTGGTTTTTGGGTTGTTCTTTTGTCACCCTGTAACTTAGTTAATGTTCCCTAAACTGGCTAGGAATGCAATGTCACTGAGGAGGAACATGAGATTTAATGTTCAGAATTTTCTTACTAGTGGAGTAAATTCATGATTCATTCGTGTTTCATTGTTTCCTACTGCAGAGTAGGAGTAGGGCTTTCATACTTCCTCTGAGAGATATTTTTTCAGTGGTGATGCTGTACCACTTAACCTGTTTGGTAGTCTGGAAATGTCCATTTCTGCTGTTATCATAAAGCCTGACTTATTAAATTGGTTGAAATTGACACCATGTGTTCAAGTTCAAAGGAATAAAGAGGTTTGACTGTAATTAAGCTAGTGACAGAAGTGCAGATGATTTAGTGTTTATCTACAATTAGTTATACATGCTTTTTACAGACAAGTAGTGTTCCAATTGAGACTATAAACATGTATATCATCCCTCCTCATCACTCAGAGATAAACACAGATCATCTTCTTTGAATGGCATACCTTTCAGTTCTTAGACTTATGTTCTGGAATCTAGTAAAGTTCTGAAATTATTCTTTGTATCAGTGTTTACAAGTCAATAAATGAGATGATTATTCTTTTCCAGCTGTACAAAATGAACGGGACAGGATAAGTACAAGAAGAAACACTTTTGATGGCTGCAACAGTCCCTCTATTAGCACACTGTCACAAGCTGAGACACTCTCCCGCCAGGTACTGAGATCTATCACAAAATTATTTACTGACGTTAAGATCACTTTTACTAAAATTAAATACTTCTTAATTTCTTACTGTATCAAAAATAATTATTGAGATTACTTTTTTCCTACTTCCAAAATGCACTCAGTTTCCTCTTCTCAATGGAAGAAGCCGTAATAGAATACATTCTGGAAGCATAGTCAGTAAAATATTCTACTTTATCCAGAACAATATGTCTTAGGCACCTTTCTTAATAAAGGTTTATGGTTCTTACTGCTTTTAAATCAATTGCTGTCTTAGGCAGCTGGTGGCATCTATCTATCTTTGAAACAGTCTTTCCCATGAAACATAGGAAAAAATTTGTCCAAAGCCATTACATTCAAAGGGGTGTGGACACTCATTTCCTTACATTCTTTTGAAAATCCCATTTTTAATATCTTTAGACATTATAAGTAAGGCAAAAAGAAGTGTTCCAACTGCAGAGTCTATTCACCTCTCACTTTTAAATTTTCTTTGTCTCATCTGAACTTCATTTTCTCTTTTTCTTTTTTTTTTCCTATTGAATCAATTGCTGAATGGAACAGTCTCCAGTCCTTTTCTGCACCTCAGATAAATCATGATCATTGATTCTGCATTCTTGCACCTCTTACTAACTTGCTTAGAATTTAACTGCCACCTTTATGATTTCATACTGACTGATTTATACATCCCCAAATGTTTTGTAATCTCATTCTTTATCAGCATCTCTCTTAGGCTGGAACTGCCTGTAAAGAATTGATGCAGGAATTACTGGGTTATAGTCTTTGGCACGTATTGCATGTCTGGGCAGACTAGATGAACATAATGTACCTTCCTACATTTTCTACCTATACACTATGAAAAATATAGCTATATTTATCTCCTTTGTAATTTTTTGACCCTGCTTATTGTGCTTTTTTTAATACTCCTTAATCATTTCCAACTGGTATATGCAATTCAGGAATAAGAACTGTCTTGAACAGAATCACATCCTCAGCTGTTTATAGCACAGTTTTTTTCAAATAGTAGGTTGTTGGCCTAAAACATCTCCTTGTGTATACACAAATTTATTGTACTTACTATTGGATATATTTTAGTAGAACAGAATTGCTTCCACTATGTCAAGTATATATGAAGATACAATCTTGGCTTCAAAGTCCAAGAGACTCCATTAGCATGATGGAAAAGCAAAGAAGTCTTGAAAGTACTTCTCCCTCAGTTGAATAGGTCTACAAGATGAGTTCAGTCCTGAGAAGAGACTTAGAGGAGGTGATAGTGTCCCAAATGATTATTCAAGTACTTCAGCTGTAAAATGAGGAAGAGGGTGGCATTCATTTCTTTTGAAATGTCCATATGAATAAGGAAAAAAAGGCATTTTCATACCTTTTGAAGTGTTCATAATAAATAGGGAAAATTAGTAATTTTTTTCGTTAAGATTCCGTACAGGGGGGAATTGTCTAAGTACAATTTTTCTCATACAGACCTGGGAGAGGCTTCCAGGATTATGTAAATATGAAAAGGTCATGCTGGACTTTCATATGAGTAAAGGCATCTGTCTCTGAAGGTTTTCAGATCAACTGGGATACAGTGTTATATTTTTATGTTCATCAACTCATTAAGGGTACAAGTTACACTGGGAAAGGTTTCACCTCAATATAAGAAAGAAATTTTTTACAATGAGAACAAGCAATTACTGGAGCAACCTTTCCAGGGATGTGGTGGACTCCTCATCATTGAAGATTTTCAAGATGCGATTGAACAGGGTGTTAGATAATCTCTAGGATTCCTTTCCCATAAAAGGTTGGGACCTTTGAAGGTCCCTCCTAACCTGTGCTAATCTCTGATTCTATCAAGTCACTGAGCCCTATGTTGTACCCCATAAATGAGAGGCAGGTTAAAGCAATAGAGAAATAGAAATTGAAAAGTTCATAGCTTCATATCCTTGTCAAGACATGTAATCCTAGGTGTTCATAATGACCTCCATGGGAGTCATCCCACGAACCCTCAGAAGAAGTTCACCAAGTAATTTCAGCATGGAGACTGTAGTTTGTAATGTAAGATGTAAATTATAAAAATGCACATCTTTGATTAAATATATTAAAGGAAGGACAATGTATTAACTGCATGGGCCAGTATGTCTAACAGTTAAACAATCTACCTCTTCTTTACCTTCTTGTATTATCTTCTAGTTGCTGCATGGTTAGTATCATTTTCAGGCAGATCAGAGTTTGACCTACTATCAGAAATCTCTACTTTGTACCTTTGAATCATGATCAAGACCCCTTTTATTCTTCTGGAAAAAAAAAAAAAGAAATGTATTGAATTTCTTTACTGTCTTTCTGTACTGAAGGTTTTCTAGACTGAATCGCTCTGGTAGCTCTCACCTGAATGAATATCAGTATTTTCAACCTCCTTTTTGTAGAGGAGATGCCAGATATGGATTCATGATTATAGCATGGATTTCACACATTCTCTGTCTACAAAGAGGCAATACCTCTAACCTTTTTCCTACATGATAGCCTTTGAATTATGTGTCTGAGGAATTTTTCCCCTGCCTAGTTGCTGTATTTCCCTGAGAGCTAATGTTCAGCTGGATAACTGACATAAATATCTAAGCTGTTTTCACTGTTTTACACTACTGAATTATGTAGGAAACATAGAGCTTTAGTTCTGAAGAACAACTCCTTTTGACAAGTCAAGGATAAGGGATTTCACTACAGATCCCACTGTGGGGTTTAACATGGGTATATGAATGAAGGGAACTGGTAGGAGTCAAACTAAATACTTTCCACCATCCTGAAAAGTGTAGGAACATGCTAATGGAAGACAAAACAATTAATTTCTTTTCCTGAGGAAGATAATCACGCTACATAATTTCCCAAATATGCTTTCGGTAATAATACATAAAGGGAAAGTTAGTTTTATAGGCATTGTACGGGGATCTTTTTCTTTTTCTTTTTCTTTTTCTTTTTCTTTTTC